GGCGTGACTTTCATCGCGTGCGCGTATAATCGATCTCGAGAACCATAGTTTTAGAATACCAGGCCTTTCCGTACTTTTATTTTTATTCCTTAATTAACCTTTACAGGAAAACCGCTAATAGCGCTATAACAGATTTTGAAACAAAGGATACAATGAAAACAATCAATTATAATAAATCTTATTCAAAGAAAAATTGTAAAATTTTGTAAATAGACCCCACCCTCTAAAGAAAATTAAATCCGCCTGTACTGATTTTAAATTCCATCGCCTCAGGATTAGGCGGGGTGCATCAGGATATAATATCAGTTCTTTGGAGAGTCCAAAACGAGACTCTCGCATGCGATCCAGCACATATGGGGTGTCACTCTGACTCCCGACAATCCCGACTTCCTGCAGAAAGTGTCCGAAATGGCGAAGGGCATAGGCGGCCGTCGACGAAAGAAAATCACCCGATACATGCGACGAGTGTCGGTCGGTGGAGCGGCGAGGAGCAGGCAAACGTGGATAACACCGCGATAAGAAAAAGACGCAGCGATGGCACGGCGGTAGCTAGACCAGGATGGAAAGAGGAGAGAAAGAAGAAGCGAGAGAAAGAAAGAGTGAGAGCGAAGGGGTCGGTCGACCGACGACCGGTACCATGGTCCCAAGCTAGGAGCCGAGTCAGCAGAGTGTCAGTCAGGCTCGAGACACCCGCGCGAACGGAGCGAGAGAGCGAGGTGGTGACTCGGCTGGTTTACCTCCCCTTCTTCTAACGTTCTTCGCGGATGCAACCCCCTCCTCCTACACACACTCAGACGAGGTATTAATCCTCTCCTGGTCTATCACGGAGCAGGAGTACACGGAGTAGTGTCGCGCGGAGTGTCGTACGGGATAGGATACGCGCAGAGGAGAGCGGCTCGCCGGTGTCATCCGGATAACGTTGCTCGTTATCACACCCCGTAGCACGCGCCGTATCTCCGCCCGTATCTCCACCCAGAGTGCACTCGATCGGCAGCGATACACGAAGAAGGACTGCCACGACGACGACGACGACGCCGACGACGAGGCGGTTATTGTTGTGAGCTACTCCGAAGACCGAGTGTGTAAGTACACCTGCATGTACATGTCTATCTGACCCTTTTCTCTTAAAAAAAAAAAAAAGAAGCGAGGTCACCGTGCAAGATTCTTTGATTATCCGCTCCATTTCTTACCGCGACCGCCTCCACGAGAAGAGGAGGCCTCCATGCCGAGCCCTTCCTCGCGTGGAAACCTCCTCTCGTAGCACCAGACGTCGACATCGATTTCCTCGTGCCCCGCCATCGCCGCCGCCGCCGCCGCCGCTGTCGACAACAACGAGCCCTCGCCCTTCCAGCGGCCGCTCGCATGCCGGATCTCTCTTTCTCTTCCCCTCACGATCTTTCTTTTCCATCTCGCGGTCAACACGAATTCGCGAGACTCTCCTTCGAGTATCTTTCCAAATGTCACTCAGTGGGGGCGAGACACGGTGGCGTCCGACGAGTACTATTGACCCAACCGACGAACAATATATATTCAAGGACGAGGGTGTCAAATTTTCAGAGAAAGATGTTCATGTAGAATCTTCTCGAGAGAAAATTTGTCACGCCCATACACGTTCCGACCTTCATTTAACTTTACTGTCGAGCGTGAATTCGATTTATCTCCCATAAAAATTATGTTATCCTTTAAATGTCGAATACTTTGACAAATATAGTCTAGAAACGAAAAAACAGCATTGCCTTAACAGACCAGCGCTTGTAATGTATATGCACATCCATAAGAATTAAAGAGTTAAGTGTTTACATGAATCGAGCAGCTGATACTTTACTAATCAGATCAGAAGAGATTCGAATACTCTTTAACCTAGAAGAAACCTTTTTAACCTAGAAAGAACCTTTTGTTAGAGTTATTTAAAAATAAGAGCAAGAGAAGTTCTTCTCAGAAGTTCTTTTAATTCAACTTTATTTCAACTTTAAGTTATGCAATAACACACTTTATTTGTAGTGTTGTATTTCTTTTAAAACACGTCTATTGTATTGGTATTCGATATCGATTGTTATAACATTTTAATATTTATAGATGCTCTATAAAATAAAAATATGTGTTTATTATTATATTAAAACGAGAACATAAAATGAGAGAAATTATAATATAAATTAACTTTTATATATGATGATTCCGATCCTTCATGATGGATTGTCTGAGTTAATTTCCTTTACTTTTACGAATATACGAAAATTATTACGTAATTCTTACATATACTTTAATATCTTTAGATTAAAATATTTGTAAGATTGTGTTTAAAAAAAGAAAAGGATATAGAATCATAATTCTTCCTAAAATTTCAAAGAAAAGAATACGCAGAAGATAAATGACCAAATTGACTATATTAAGTGTTAATCTCGAGTTTCAATAAGATTATTTATTTTGATAAAATGAAAAATATAATATAATAGCGCGTATAATATATTATTGGCGTGTTTGATTTCGCCATCAATAGTGATTAAATTTGCCAGACTGATGAAATAAAAAGGCAAAGCATCACTAATTGTTTATGAGTAAATTTCTGAGAGATTTGCCTGAACGATGAAACAATTATACGATTAGCAGTAGTGACAGAATCTAGCGGAACAAAATATGGACTTATATATGTATACAATACATACGCTGTCGAAGCGGATTCCGCTGATTAATATGGCACTGTTTGTAAATATAGTGGCATAAATGAAAAACTGGCTACATGTAGTGTGCGCGAGATATTACGAGTAGAAACTCTCTGAGGAAGTGCTCTTTCTCCTTCCCCGACACGATTGTTTATGGCGCTATAACAGCGAGAGTACTTGTATACGAAAATACATTTCGAAGAGAAACACAGTTCGGAAATTCTGTTAGACGGTTAGGTTCTACTTGGCTGAAAGATAAAACTGTCATTTGAGCTATGTTTTTTTGTATGTATAAAGTGTTACAAGATGAATTTTTCTCGTATATCGAAGAAGTCTGAAGGTAATTCTTCGATGAAATTTTCGTAAAACTATTGATATTGACTGATACACTATTGTTATTAACATGTAAATTTTACGTACAAGAAATAGGTCTTAATCTTTTAATTAATAACACAAAGTTTTCACATTTTTAACAACAAAATTTATGATCTAGACAACAAATATTTATAATCTCAATAACAAAATATTTATATTGTATATAAATACAGTAACCTAATTATTAATTTAAAAAAAAAGAAAAAACAAGAATTCTCTCTCTCTCTCTCTCTCTTATAAATAATACTGTTAAATTCAGTTTTTAAATAATATGTAGTCCAATTGTGTGTTTTCTCATAATAGTTAAATAAAATATATAATGAAAGAAAAAAAATACTGCTTGAAAATTGAAATTATATATCACGTTCTTTGTTGTAATACACCGGAGAATCCAAACTGATATATAAAAAAAGCAAACAGAATTTTTAAAAGGTCTAATTTCCACGACAAAGTCTTATCTCAAGTTGTCTTAGCTTTTAACATGATAGAATGTGGACTTCCTATGACCACTAAAGACATAATTTAGCATTTTATAACTTTGACTACTTCTACGTAAAATTGACGTATCCATAGCGTTTTTTAGGATTAAGGAAAAATTCCTGCAAAATCTAGATCGATTAAATAATTTTGCGCAAAACGCAAACGTTCAATTTTAAAACGCAATGAGTGAGTGTGTTAAAGAAATGGTTTTAAAAGTTTCTAATGCAAAAGATATATTTATCACTATCTCAATTTTGAATTACATAGTACACAGAATATTGTAAATACATTCTATATGCGTTGCAATTAAGATATCAATCGCAGGTTGCAAATAATAGATGTAAATAGGGAACCAGGCTACAAAATAATGAAATGCTTCGATGTACACATCGCCGGGAGTACTTATTGATCAATTTTCGTAACGAACGTCGTAGCAATCACTAATTTTTCATCATTATCGGTGAATGTCTTTTACATTTAATTCATGCTTTTCACATCGTTTTCTATGCCTTGCATATCATATATTCACGTATACTCCGGTTCGACCAGTCGAGCTGCGTAGCATCATCATCTTCCATTCCAGTCATATAGATCCGTTAATTATCTTGTTTCACTGTATAAAATATGTCTCCATGAGAGTCACGATGTAACTTGTCTTTCTTAAAAAATTAGATATCTCCTGCCAATACACCTCGAATCATTTAAATCCCGGAATCCTTCGGGCGGAACATTGATTATCGAGGTTGTCGTACGTAAATTGCAACTAAAGCACATAGTTTTTTCAATTCAGAATTCGCTCTATATTTTTAGACTTACTCTATCTTTTTCCATGTATGTTTTCCATGTATGTTTTAATTAAGTTTTAATTAATTTTTTAGTAAACATCGCACTTCCGAGGAGTTGCACTGAAGAAAGATGCACTCTCTAAATTCTTTCAAATGAGATTCACTTCAAAGAATTTAGACAGCACCTTCCACGAATGTACCTTAGTTATACACTTTTTTTACCTTTAATATACCATATTTGTTACCGTAATTTCCGCAAAAATGATTTATATATTTCAATTAATTTTCTTTTTAATCGATGGAGACTTGATTAAGAAATAAATTCATGATGTGTAAAAGTTGATAGAATTAAAGAGCTTCTAGATATACAGATTGAAAGAAAAAGAAAAGTTCAAAAATACGAAAAAAATCTCGATTTCACAAATTACACTGAAGTTTTTGGGACCCCAGGGTATATAGCTAGGATTAAGAATCTGATGCCAAAGAAATTCGTTCGGAATTAATGCCATTTCGTTTCCTCCGACAGAGTCGATCGATCGGAAACTCTCGCGCGAAGCCGCGTGTACGAGCGCGACCTCGTCGAAAGCGAGTCACCTTTATTGCCGTCCCAGTTACTCACGTACGGCTTCTCCCGTGTCGCGATGCGATCGAGGATCGCCCCCGAAGTCTCTTCTCGGCGGACGTGATTTACATACGGTCGTCCGGCAGCCACAAATAACGACCTGCTCTGTCGTCTTGCTCCCGAGACTGCCGCCTTTCCTCCATCGAGATTCGGCACGAATAAGCCCAGATCTTTGGCGTCGATCGCCTCCAGACGTCTAAAAGGTAGAGTTGGTGCGTGAAAAATTTCACGTGTACAGAAAATTGATTCACCGTTCTCACTTTCTTTTTCATTTTATTTAACGAACTCGTTCGCGTACAAGAACCGGCCATGCCGATCTACTTTGCATCTTGTTAATAAGATGCTGCTTTAATTCTTAGCTGCATTACTTCCTAATGAATTTTACAAAATCTTTAGTAGCTGAAAAATGATTTCGTTAATTTTAAATCTAAGATAATTTTTTAAAGTTTCTCTAAATTATCCAAAGGGAGGAAAGAGATTTGATTAAACGTATTTGGAGAATATAAAGAAAAGAGAATATATATATGTATATGTATGCACTGCAAAAAAATCTCAAAAAATCCTCTTACATGTCAAGAATTAAGTCCATGGAATCTCTATAGACACTCGCTGTAATGTAGTAGTATTATATGTACGGGTTATTTTATATGTATTCTATATATTTATTTTATACACATCTTATATATAT